AACAGTTGTTGCAAAACATATAAATATTAAGAACCATTACAATTTAAACATAAGGTAACCACATCATTTTTTTTCATGATATGTGAATTAGGCATACTAAGATTTATTTTACTGTACCTCATAAAAGCACTAATGAAAGAGGACATCCAGAAGTGCTTCAGAAAATGTCATGAAAAATGGGACAAGTTAAGGGGCGTATTCTGAAGGGGATTAATGGCAATGTGTCTTTTACTGTAATCATTTTTTAAAATTTAAATATTCACCATATATTTTGATCACCCCTGTATTTAACCCATTCATCCTCCCACTCCTCTTGACCACTATTTTACATATTCTTACTTCTTAATCCTCCAACACCTTCTCCCCTATTGTCACTTTTAACCTTACTTCCTTAAAAGAAACAAATGGAAGTAATCATTAAAGAACTTGTATAGCCTTTCATCATACCAAGAATGCTGAAGGAATGAATAACCTCCCTGATTTGACATTGTCGTTCCTCATCTCATCACAGGATTTTTCAACTACTCTTTATGAGTTTTTCACTCCCTCCTCCATGATATAATTTCTCCATTATCTTGTTTCTAACCTATTACTATTGATACCTTAGGTGGTTCAATTTCTTTCATCCAACTCTAAGGTTCCAGTGCTATAGGGTTCATTCCTTATCCCTTTCTCTATCAACACTCATTCTTTGGTAATCTGATGACTTTAAATACCATCCACATGCATATAACTCTCAACTGTATGCATCTCTTCCGAAGCTGTTTCCAACTACACTTTCGTTTTCAACGCCTATTTAAACATTACAAAATACATGTCTACGAGGCCCATACTTCAATATTCACATGTGCAAAATGAAACATCAGATCTCCCTTTATATCTGTGCTACTCCAATTTTTCCCATTTCAATGTAAGCAAGTCTAACCTGACAATTTTTCAAAATAAAACCGCCAAGTCATTCCTGACATCTTATCTTCTCTCATGCTCCATACATCCAACCTTTCAGAAACCCTGATGGCTCTATTTTCACAATTTCAGAAACTGACAACTTTGTGAATCACCTACACAGCTGCTTTCTTTGCCCAAACTATCATCATTTTTGTCCTGGATTATTTCAATAATCTTCTAATTTATCTAATTCCATCTTCCTTCTCTGTAATTCAGTCTGAAGGCAGTAGGATTCAGTCTTTTAAAGTATAAGTCAGCTGATGTTATTACTGTACTCAAAGATGGCAAAAACTCTCCATTCTTTTCTCAGTAGAGGCCAATATGCTTACAGGGTCCCGTGTAAGTTGACTTCCACTATTTCTCTTGACTTTTTCTCCCTTGACTTTCTTCTTGTCCCTTGCTCTCTCTGCTTCCATGAGCCACTTCACTGTTACTTGAGCATTATGTTCCGTATTAGTCTTTGCTAAGGCTTTTCCTTCTCCCTGGACCATTGTTCCTCAAATAATCACATAGCTAATTCTCTTACCATAGCTAATTCCTTCAAATCTTGACTTAATTTTCATTATCTTGAGGCCTATTCAGATTACTATACTTAAAATTGCAACATACAGTTTACTTATTTGTATGTTTTTAGTATTTATGATATAGATCTTTTATTATATTAAACATAGATTTAGTCTAATATTGTCACTGGGTAAGCATGGGCAAGTCTCAAGTTTGTTTGCTAGTTTTGAGACTCTACCAACTCTCTCATATATAAATTAAGAAGTTTTAAATGTTTCAGTTCTCCAAAAATGTGATTCTTTAATTATAAAATATTTGTAAAGAAAATATCAAGTATTACTTTAAAAACGAAGCACATTATAATATGTTAACTATAAAAAAGAAACAGCTTTAACTACATCAAACAAAATCCTTGGGAAGAAAGTGTGAGGTACATGCAAATAAAAAGAACAAGCTTCCCACAGTCATTAAGGAATATGTGCACATGTGCATGTTCAGAAACTCAACAATTTCAATATCCAATTTAATTTCTTACTTCTTTGCTCTTTGCAACTTCTGCAATAGCAGCAGTCCTTTGCTTTTCAAATTCATCATTATCATTTGTAGGTTTGACAGGCATTGTAACTTGTAACGTCTTTCTTCTATCAAGTTCTCTGCTATCTACTTGAACATGAGATGCACACTTCTGGTAAAATAAATGAAAATAATTCAGTAATTCCAAAAGTGATTAGTTTTCATTAGAAAGTAACACTTCTTCAGAAGAAGTGTTTGTAGCACTTACAATAGCTAGGAGTCCAGAAAAATGGAATTCTATCCTACAGATTTAGAAGAGAGATAGAAAACTGATTGAAGTAATTTTTAAGCAGATGTAACAAATACTGTAACTGAAGTTAAAAGCTATACAAAAATGCTGTCATCTGAACCAGAGTTCATATGTAAGACATATACTGGACCAAGAAATCTAAATTTCATTCTATGGTAATAATTTGACACAATTTTAGATTTCAAACAGTCTAAACTATGCACACAAAAAGGAAGTATGATTTCAAACTGTCGAATGCACAAGAAGAAATAGATTTGTAATGAAAAGCTCAATTTCCACATTATGTCACAATATCCATACGTGAGTTAGGCAGTACAGTTACTTTAACATATAAAAAGGTATTTCTTGATTTATAAACCAAAAGCTAAAACCATATCTTCTAAGTTTTATTTGTGTGTGCATTCTAAGTTTTACATTTTTAAAATAAATTAAGACAGGCATCAATACCTAAAACTAAGCCCCAAATTCTGGTCTGCATTCAATTCTACCAATAAAATCCTATAAAATGAACTTCTGTCCCGCTCACTAATAAGCAGAAGAGAGGAAAAATATTGCCAAACAAATGTGTTATATACATACTGTGCATGTTTAACAATACAAATATTCTGCTAATATCAACAAAGAGGCAACATTTACCTACCTTTAACCCAGGTATAACACTGAAATATGCTGCATAAGAATTTTTCCAAATGAACTTTATAAATAATACTATTGAAATTATAACTTTTGTTATACTTCCTATTAGAAAGTTATAAAACAGATTTCAAATTCTTGAAAATAATTAGGTAATAAGTCTTTCTGGAAAAAGATCACTTTCATATCTTAAGTAATTTATGAAGGAATACATCAAAAAACACTTGAGGATAAATTCTCACATACATCATTTATTATTTTCAAATAAAATAGATATTAGAATATCTACACTTTGTTTTCATTCTGGAGGTTTTTATTGGAGTAAGACAATATCATCAACATGGAAAACACCAAGTTCACAGTTCCTTTTATCTTGAATGTCTCTTGTTCCAAAAGACAGGGAAAAAAAATATGTTTAAAATACTTCCAAATAGTCATGATGCAAGAATTACTCTAATCTTGACTAGATCTTTTTCTTTTTTTGCAGTTCCGGAGATCAAACTCTGAATCTCACACTTGCAAAGCAGGTGCGGTGCCACTGAGCTAAATCCAAGGCCCATGACTAGATCTTGAAAAGAGGTTTCTGAAAAGGATTCCAGTCAACTGATCTAACCCATTTATCTTCTGATAAAGTAGGTCTTTTTTTATACCAAAATTTTTAAAAATATAAAATAAAACTTGTTATCAAAATTTAGGTCTCTGCTACCTATCTTTATGTTCCTAACTTACCATCACTCTCAGCCAGAACCTTCAAAGAAAATTAAGAAGAAAATACAAAGCAGACTATCAATAGTTTCAGTTTTGTGGCTACTATTTTTTTCAGAGATTATTTCACAGGGGTTATTTCAGAGATAAATTTTGGTGGTATCATGAGAGAACCAGTAAGCAGCCATAGGGATTATTCTCAGACTTATCAGGGATAAGTCACAGAAGGGCCAGAGGACACTGCTGCAAATGCAATCTGATGCTGCACATGAGGAAAACACAAGATCTGGCCAGCTGAGGAACTATTTTAAAATAGCACTCTGCAGCAAGGAGAGGTTGAAAAATGAGTAGGTGAAATATTTGTAGTTTATGTATAAGAGGCAGGGCTGCTACTGTTGAAAAGGAAAATATTAACTAGAAATCAAATTAAGTCCTTGACTAAGATGGGTATTCAGACTGAGGCAGAAGAACAGAATCTTGGGAAGAAATTATGGGCTGTGTTTATCTTCTTATTTTAAATTTCCCATTAGAAAGAAAAAAAACCCACATCCTTTCCTTTATCTTAATGAATTGTGATTTGCTCTTCATATATGGCTTTTAATTGTTTCAATCTTTGGATGAATAGTAAAATTATTTAATTCCTTGAACTTCATTATTTCCATATAATTCCATGACTTCTGAATAAACAGGGCAGCACAAAACTAAGCACAGCTTAAATATAAATAAGAAACACTTCTCTTGATTTAAATTAATCTGCTAATATGAACATCATTACCTGTCCAAAAGGCACAAAAGGAGGTGGTCCACCTTCAGTTCCAATGTTGCTTCTACTGTGTTTTGATAAGCTCTGTGAGAAAAAACATCTATCATAAAACAGAAACCATAAATAAAAAGTATATTTACAACATTTATAATGTACTAAGAATCCATTACTTTGAGTAGATTATTATAACAAACATAAAAAAGGCATTCTCAAAATTATTTCAAACTATAGAATACAAAATATTTTATTCCTCATTTCAGGAACTAGGCAAAGCTTTTGCCTTAGCTCCCCTGACAAAAACACATGTTTACAAACAATTTTGAGAAATGTTTATCAACATTTTCTCCTAAGGAGAAAGTCCTTCTCAACAAGTAGCAAATTCTAAGATGATAAATTTTGGCAACAAGAATTTCACTTTAAAATATATAACAGGAAAATATTATCTTGAAATCATCTTCAAAGTGAAGCTTTGAGACATAAAATCATTAGCAAACAATGTACTCATAAAGGTGATTTCTAATTATTTCAAGAAATCAGACTTATAATTTCTAAGATAAATTTTTCAATTAAATTTTTTTGTTAATATCCTACATCATACTCTGAAATACTGAATTGTTATTTAATGACAGTAAGTTTCCAAACTCTACTAATTTCAGTTTCTTTTTTCCCAAACTGTCATAACTAGAATAAGAAAAACAAAAATGTATTCTAAAAACAGAAAGAAAATATTCTCCTAGCAAAAGCAATTTTTTCTCAGAATTTAAAGTTGTTTCAAAATGGCATAAATAACCTTCAACAGAACTCCCTTCTATTATCTACTGTGCCTATTCCTTATGGTTTTGAGGTATTAACATGCATCTATTATGCACTACTTATTTTTAACTTTCTGTGCATTTTTAATAATTATCATTATAGACTTCCAGGAAGATGGTGGAATGGTAAGCAGCAGATAAACAGCCTCTCTGATATTTAGAATCCAGATGCTAGAAAATAGCAACACGAGGAAAAGAAGGAGTGAAGCAGTTCCTTGGGACCCAGCAAGGATCTGAAGTGAGAATTAGAGCCTACAGGGAGAATGAAGAGAGAGACCACAACACAGAAGAGGAAGAGGAAGAGGAAGGTGGCAGATGGCACTTTCTCCCGGAGCCCAGGTTCACAGTGTGGGGCAGACAGAACCTGCAGAGGCATGGTGATTACTGGGGACCCCTGAGGCATGGTGACTACTAGCAATCCCAGAGGCCTCCACTGAAAACCATACCAGTGGAATGGAGCAATGGATGCAGCGACTGCAGTGGCTGGTGAGTTATTCAGGTTGAGACACCCCCTCACCCCCAGGAGAGGGTGAATGTCCTTTTAGAAAGCAGCAACTGAAGTCAGAACTCAGAGCAGCTGTAGGTTGGCTCCATCTAGTGGCTTCAAATGTCAGAGTGAGGCATAACTGAGTTCAGGCCAGCAGGAGGCACTCAGAGTGCTGAGGGACCTGAAAAACTCAGGTCCCAGCCTCACAGCCAGAAAGTGGAAGCAGCCTGAACTTCAGTGGAACTAAAGGCCTAGGTTTGGTGTTATTATCCAACACCACCATAATTCTACTGCTGGCTTGCTGGATCAATCAACATGGATCTGGGCTCTGTCTGCCTCTGCTGTCAATGAATGACATGCTGTAAGAGACATGCCCTGAAGTAGACATTTTTTTTTCTGCTTTTCTTCCTTTCTTTGCGTTTTCATTTGTATTAATTTATTTATTTCTATTTTTTTCTCTTTCTTGATTGATTATTCTTTTTATACAAGTGAGAATATGTTTCTAGTTTTTGTTGTTGTTGTTGTTCATGTTTCTGGTTCTTCCTTCTTTCTTTTCTTCCTGTCTCCTTTACCAGTTCCCAAAACTTACATAATCTTCCTTTGTCCTCTTGCCTTGCTTCTAATTCCTTCTCTATTTCCTTTTAATTCCTTTCTCTACTTCTATTTCTCTATTTTTCCTCCTAATCCCTTTTAAATTTTTTCCTCTGAGGGTAAATCACCACATTGAGGGGATATTTACTGTACGCAATTTTCTGGTTTTAGATTTTGTATATAACTACATATCTTGCTCACAGAGTTAAAGGTGGCAAATTAATAGTTACCACAGTTTGTTACTTTTTAGGGTATTCTTGATGGTGCATACAAGAAACACATTTAACTCAAAAAGAAATTCATAGACTGAAAGTCAAAGGATGGAAAACAATACTCCATGCAACAGGAACCCTGAAAACAACAAGGGAAGGTATTTTATTTGCAGACAAAATGAATTTCAAGCCAAGATTGATCAAGGAAGACAAACAAGGTCATTGCATTCTCATTAAGGAAACAATCCAAGAGGAAGAGAAAACAATCATAATTTTATACACACCAAACATCAGCACACCTAACTGTAGCACACCTAACTGTATGAAGCAAATAATAGTGGACATGAAAAATCAAATAAGTACTAATACAATTGTAATGGGGGACGTCAATACCCCGCTGTCACGCATAGATTAACCAGATAAAAAAATCAACAATGAAATAGCAGAACTGAACCAAACTTTTGAGCAAATGAATGTCTAGAGTGTTCCACCCCACAACATCAGAATACGCATTCTTCTCAGATATACACAGGACATTCTCCAAAATAGACCATTTGGAAATCAATGGCAAAAGAAACCAGAAGAACTTCATAAACTCATGGAAATTAAATAATACCTTCTTGAACAACCAATGGTTCACAGATGAAATTAAAGAAGAAATTTGTTTCTATGATTAAATGGTAATACTAATATAACATACTGGAACTTATGGGACACAATTAAAGCAGTCCTACAAGGGGAATTTATAGCAGTAAATTCTCACATCAGAAAAACAGAACAAGCTAAAATAACCTATTATAAAGATTAGAGAAGAAATTAATGCACTTGAGACTAAGAAAACAATACAAAGAATCAATGAATTGAAGGCTGGTTCTTTGAAAAATTGAATAAAATTGACAAACTAATAGCCAACCTTATCAAAAAAGGAAAGAAAAGACTCAAATCCATGCAACTAGGAATGAAAAGGGTAAAATCACAACAAATTCTGCAGAAACTGAGATCATTAATACCTACTTTGAGAACCTGTATTCTAATAAGATGGACAATACAGAAGAAATGGAAAGATTCCTACATGTATGTGAATTACCAAAGCTGAATCAAAAAGACATAAAGATTCTAAATAAACCAGTATCAGTCAATGAAATTAAAGATGTAATTAAAAACCTTCCAACAAAGACAAGCCCAGGTCCTGATGGATTCACTGCTGAAATCTACAAGAAATAAAGAGAGATCTAAAGCCTTGAATTCTTTAATGACATTGAAAGGGAAGCAACACCCCCAAATTCATTCTTGGAAGCAAGCATTACCCTGATATCAAAACCAGAGAAGGATCCAACCAAAGAAAGATTAGGCCAATCTCCCTAATGAACATAGATGTTAAAATCTTCAGTAAGATACTGGCAAACAGAATGCAGCAAATCATCAAGATTATATATCATGACCAAGTAGGATTCAACCCAAGGATGCAAGGATGGTTCAACATATGCAAATCAATAAATGTAATACATCATATTAACTGATCCCAGGACAAAAACCACATGATCATATCAACAGATGCAGAAAAAGCATTTGACAAATTCCAACACCCATTCATGATTAAAAAAAAAAACCCTACAGAAAACTGGAATAGTCTTTATCTTAACCTGATAAAAGCCACCTATGACAAACCCACAGCCCACATAGTAGAAAACGGTCAAAAACTGAAAGCTTTCACTCTAAAATCAGGAGACAAGGATGTCCACTATAACCACTCTTATTCAAAATAGTTCTGGAAACATCCAGAACAATTAGACAAGAGAATGATGCCGGGGATTTAGCTCAGTGGTTCCACTGCCTGCCTTGCAAGTGCAAGGTCCCGAGTTCAATTCCCAGTACCAAAAAAAAAAAAGAAAGAGAGAGAGAGAGAGAATGTAATAAAAGGAATAAGGATAGGAAAGGAAAAAGTTAAATTATCATTATTTGTGGATGACATGATACTCTACACAGGAGACTCTAAAAACTCGACCAAAAGACTTTTAGATTTCATAACCAAATTCAGTAGCATAGCTGGATACAAAGTCAACCCTAGGGCTGGGGATTTAGCTCAGTGGTTCCATCACCTGCCTCACAAATGCAAGGTCCCGAGTTCGATCCCCGGTACCAAAAACAAAACAAAACAAAGTCAACCCTAAAAGACCAATATCATTCCTGTACACAAACAACAAATTCAGTGAGAGAGAAATTAGGGAAATCACACCTTTCATAATAGCAATCAAAAGAATGAAAGACTTAGGAATCAATCTAACAAAGGAAGTAAAAGACCTTTACATTGAAAACTACAGAACTCTGAAAAAGGAGAGCAAAAAGATGTCAGAAAATGGAAACATATTCCTTTTTCTTGGGTAGAAAGAACCAATGCAGTAAAAATGGCTATCCTCCCAAAATTGTTATACAGATTTAATGCAGTCTCAATCAAAATACCAATAGCATACCTCACAGAATTAGAAAACACAATCCTAAAATTCATTTGAACACAAAAGAGACACCGAATAACAAAAAGCATTGGGCAACAGAGGCAAGGCAGGGGGCATCACAATCCTTGATTTGAAACTATACTACAAAGTTACAGTTTTGTTAATGGCAAAAAACAGACCCAAGGATCAATAGAACAGACTAGAAGATGCAGAAACAATTCCAACCACACTCAGCCACGTTATCTTTGACAAAGAGGCCAAACACCCTCACTGGAAGAAAGATAGCCTCTTTAATAAATGGCGCTGGAAAAACTGGCTTTCCACATGCCAAAGACTAAAACTAGACCCATGTCTCTCACCATGCACTAAACTAAAATCAAAACGGATCAAAGATCTAAATATTAAAATAGAAATACTAAATCTGCTGGAAGATAGAATAGGTAGAACTCTTGAGGACACAGGTATTGGCAAAGACTTCATGAACAAAACCTCAATTGCATAGGAAATACCACAAAGAATCAACAACTGA